AATATAGCATACATCTTTTTTAATGTAGTCACTTCTATCAAGGAGGACTACTCCTGATCCTTTATCCGGCTTTGTGATGATCAGTCTCTCATCATTTATCACTTTTTTAAGTTCTTCTCTGTGCTCCTTTGTCAAGAAACGTTTACTGTCGCATTTGAGATTTTTGTACCGATAACAAAAATCCACTGGACTGGATTTGAATCGTTCTAGTTCCATGGTGGATGATAGAACTAGATCCCTTGTTTGACTAAATAGGTTTTCAAATTCAATATCAGTATCTAAGTGATTAATTCGTTTCTGTCTATCACAAAATCGAAGGTCAAGGGAAAGTACTTGAAGTTGCACCCTATAGTCCTATCTGATGGGATTCAGGAGAAGAATTATTTATAAAAAGGGGAGTTCGACAAGATGACAGTTTATTTCATGAGTTCAAGTAAATGTCTATAACAGTATCAACAAGTTAGCTAGAGGTAGCCCACTCTGCTTATCGACAACTTTGAGTAATCGTGTCAGTGTAACAGTCTTTCTTATGTAGCCAAGGAGAGATACAGGAGAGGGGAGGAATAAACAAGCATAAGTAGAATACAAGAAGTGACAAAGTATAAAAGCAGAGACCAACCTCGCCGAGTTTACTACTTCACTAGTTTTTCCAGCCTGTCCTAAGTTCGGCTGTAGAGAGTAGGTTCGAATTGGCGGTATCGAGCTTACCTCATGAAATCAATCCAATCGTTAGAGCACGACAGAAATATGAGAAGACGAACTTATTTTTCGCTGGAATCGGAAAGACATAATGACATAGGCCGGTAAAAGCCAGCCTTCCGAAAGCCAGTAAGGTCAGCCAATAAGTGTCTTCTCCAGATGAAAGCAAAAATATTGATGGGAGTGTGGAGTATTTGTACAGTGTAAGAAACTAGGAAGACTGCCGAAGATGCTGGGAAAATCAGAAGAGAAGGCTCGGAATGTGAAAGACCAGGTGGACTAAGTGTGAGCTACAGAAATTGTCAATTGGGAATTCAATAATCTACTCCACTTACCACCTCCACACGACAGCCACGAGCACACTGGGGCAGTGAGTGGCTATCAGGATGTCACCAATAGCAAGCAACCAAGGCTGTTATTTGCAGTGGAAACCAATCTCCTCCTACAGGATAATAACAGCGATATTCAACTCATAGGGGAGGAAAGGCATAACCATCCAATGAGACGCACAATGCTACAAACGACTCAGAAGAAAAAGGAACATTTCTATAGACAATTGAAAACAGTAATAGACAACATCCGAAATGGTGAATCAAAATCTGTGTGGACGATATGAATTCCAGCTGTGAACGGGGAGCAGGTAAGACAGGAAGAGAACTCTTCGTGGGTGAAGAGGTACTCACTCTAAGAAATGAATAACAATGGAGAACTCTTTGCAAACTTCTGAACTTTCAATGATCTGGTGACCAGAGAAAACTGAAGAATGAAGGTGAACTTGAACTCAATGCGCATTGAACTGAATAAAGAAGTAAGGAAGTGTGCTAGGAAAGAGAAAAGACAATTCTTCTACATATTGGCTGGCAACTAGATTAGAATAGGCTACAGGTGAAAGAGACCTTAGAACATTATACCAGATAATCAGGTCTCTTTCTCTAAGAAAAGATCAACACAGGAGAAGCCCATAAAGATGATCAAGGGGAACTAATTTCCAAAGGGGAGAGGCAAACAAAACAGTGGGGTGGGGTCATTTCAAAGGACTCTTGAATCAAGTATGACTTACAACTCGTCCATAAATACTACCAACAGCCACAGAACTTCAAATGATCGAAGATCAGTCCTCCAACAAAAGCGGAAGTCTTGAATGCAGTTGAGCTTCTGAGGTTCAGAAAGATAGTCGGAGAGGAGGGAATTCCTTCTGAAGCACTAGAAATGGATCAAGAGACTTCAGCAAATATGCTAACGCCACTGTCGTGAGACGTTTGGAAGGAAGGAAAGGTATCTACTGACTGAGAGAAAGGCTACCTTGTCAAACTACCAAAGTAGGGTGACATAGGCCTCTGGAAGGACTGGTGCGAAATCACGCCCTCGACTTCAGGACGATTTATGTCTAATGTCACATAAATTCAAGCACCTACATGTGAAAACCAGACAGTTGACAGAAGAAGCAGCAAAGGCATAACTTCATAGAGAACATAGAGAAGACGGTGGTGATGAATACAGTACATCATCACCACTATCACCCCCCCCCCCAATAACAACAACAAGCGCCTGTTATTAACAACAGGGGAAATTCGAAAGAGGTTACATTTCCTTCACTTATCTAGACAGCATCCACTTCACGACAGGCGGCACCGGTGAATATGCCAAAACCACCAGCCAGAATTGAAAAGGCAAACACAGGCCGCCTTCATCAGACTAAAACCAGTTTGTAGATCTTCTATACATTCAGCATAAACAAAAATATCCAGATTTTCAACACAAAGTTGAGTTAAATCAGTCGGTCACTTCTTCTTTGTGTCAGGATAAAAAAGAACAACTACCTCGGCTGGCTGCTTACTGACGATCACAAATGGCAGGCCAGAAATAATCTCCAACAAGAAATTCAACAAATATGCTACAAAAATAGCAGATAGTTACTTTAAAAAAATTCATGCAATTCTTCCCTTTAATAAACTTCAACAAAGCAAGAACAACAATTGTACAAGGATAATATTATGACCTCATCTTTTATTATTATTTCGAGGATTCTTCACAACTGGTTACAACCTGAACGATAAAAAAGTATATGAATTACATACACATTAAGGATTTGAACATACTTTTCCACGATCACAAGGAGTAATTGGTAGGCCTTCGACAACGTTGACCGTGAAGTAATTTAGAAACTACTGGTGGACTATGGCGTACCCCAAATATTCATCAACCTTATTCAACAGGTGTACGACAACGGCACATGTCAAGTGATCCACAACGGAAAACTCAGCGAGGCGTTTGGAGTAAACACAGAAGTCAGACAAGGGTGCTTATTATCACCCGCGATGATATTCCTAATTGTGGTGGACTGACTGGATTATGCGTCAGACAGTGGGAAATGAGAAGACAGGAATATCCTAAACCGACGTGAAGAATCTAGAAGACCTGGATTTCACGCGTGGATGATTTATGTTTGATGTCATTGTCACACAATCGAAGACTTACAAGCGAAAACTGAAAAATTGGTCGAAGAAGCAGCCGGAGAAGACAGTACTCCAGGTGAACATAGACAAGACGGAGGTGATGAAAATGACCAGCCAACCAACCAACAACAACAGCACCAACATCCAGCGTCAATCACCATCAACGGGAGGGATTTGAAAGAGGTTACTTCATTCACTTATACTTATCTAGGCAGCATTGTCTCAACTACAGGCAGTTGGAACAGACGAGGATCGAGCGAGGGTCGGATAGGCGAGAACACATTCATCAACTTGAAACCAATCTAATCTGGAAATCTTCGTCACTCAACTCAGAATCAACAACAAAATTCGGTCGGATTTTCAATACAAACAACGTCAAGTCAGTCAGTTCTTCTATACGGATCAGGAACTTGGTGGGCGGGTCACAAAGAATATTTTCAACAGGCTATTGCAGACCTTCATCAACCAACAACTGTCTTCGCTGGCTCTATACTGAAGATCAGATGGCCGGGGCGGAAAGAACCACCAACAAGAAACTATGACTGGAACAAAGAAAACAAGAACCAATCGCCCAACAGATATGCAAGAGAAAGTAGAGATGGATTGGACACTCACTGAGGAGGCCGGTTGGCGACATCGCGCGTCAGGCCATTGCTCGAGTGAAACCCGAAAGGGAAGCGGCGAGTGGGACGTCGGTGTGAGGGTGACATGGAGGAGATCGTGTGAAGAGGAGTTGAAACAGTATGGACTAACATGGATGCAGGTGAAAAGTAGAGCAGAAGACAGAAGCAAGTGGAGACGTACATGCAGTTGAAGCCCTATGTTTCACTAGGAACCCAAGGGAACATTAATAATAATAAGTAACATTAGTCCGGAATGATTTAACTAAATGAGAGTTACAAACACTAACTATTTATTGAATAATTAGAGGATTAGGCTCGGAAACAAAAAACAGGGTTGCATATATATGTGTGCACAGAAACAAAGCTTAGCTAGAAAGAGCATAACAAAAAAGTAGATTACGTAACTAAGGAAAACGTCTTATCTAATAGCCAATAGTAAAAAGAAAGAAAAGAAACAAGGTAGTGTGAGTCATGTTTAGATGAGAGAGTAGAGTTATTTAAACAAGAAAAAGGGTGACTCATAAAAGTTGTATATTTTTCGTTATCACCAGGGCAGTGCAAGATTCACCACTGTCTCTTTCTGCGTACATAGATTTGGTTTAAGTGCCGTTTGATAGCAATTGCTTCAGCAAAGCGTAGCAAGCTAGATTTCTTTTGCTTGCTGACTATTCTGAACGACTTCAGGTTGCCTACAATATGACCAGTGTCTAATAGATGACGACCAATCGCACTGTTTAATGCTTGTGGACCTTTCACTCTCAGGTTCTTTGGTATGTGTTCATAAATAGGGACAATAATGCCTTTTGTTAAATCATTCCGGACTAATGTTACTAATGTTTACTTCCTATCACCAATTACTCCTTGTGATCGTGGAAAAGTATGTTCAAATCTTTAATGTGTATGTAATTCATATACTTTTTTATCGTTCAGGTTGTAACTAGTTGTGAAGAATCCTCGAAATAATAATAAAAGATGAGGTCATAATATTATCCTGGCACAACTGTTGTTCTTGCTTTGTTCAAATTGGAAATGGACTGAAAATACCGTCGGGTGAAATCTTTCGCCAGGTTCTCAAGTAGAATTAGAGTAGGAGTTGTGCATCTTAAGAAAGTTAAGAGGCATTCGTTTATTGCTTAGTCGTATTTATTTCCTTGCATAAATGTTATTTAATGTTTTATTTTAAAAACTCATAAATTATTATTATTATTACTTTATATTCAAGTAATATCATACAAAAAAAATGAAACAATCAATAAAATCTGCTTAGAACCAATTGAAACAGGTCCATGCAGAGCTGCTATCCCAATGTTTGCATTCAATAAAGAAGAATGGAGGTGTACAGAGTTTATTTACGGTGGTTGTCATGGCACTGCGAATCGCTTTTTAACACTGAAAGAATGTGAAGCGGCATGTCATTAAATCAAGTCAAACAAAATTGCTGTTTTTGGGCTTTTTCATGCTTTTTGTGTTTTTAGTTTTTTTTTTGGAGAGTGATAAACTATGGACTAATTTTCTTCTTCTATATATGTGATTGTAGAATGATAAACAATTACTAAAGAAATAAATGCATAGAGACTGTTTTCTCTAACCATAAAATCAATTTTAGATTTTCCCGTCAATTGATTGGACCGAATTGCTCACTCTCAGGGTGACATGTCTGTCGGCTTCTTGTGCAGATGCTTCGACGATGTCTGAGTATATAATTAAAAGTTAACAGGTGGATTGTGACTAGCAAAAGGAATCCAGGATAACGCACATTTCGTCTTCTACTTGGGACTCGTCAGCTAGTGGATGTACCTGCATTCCGCAGTGTGTTAGTGATAGTGTTCCCACCGAGAGATGGCTCCCGTGGCCCAAGTGGTCTAGTGGACAACGCTTTGGCGTTTGAAACTATGGGCACTGGGTTTGAACCTCGATAAGAACACCATCACCGACTCACTGCAGAATTCAGGTTCATCAACTAACTAACGAGCCCCAAGCAGGGACGAAATTCGCATTATCCTGGATTCCACTGCTGGTCACGATCCACCAACTGACTACCATGAAGTAAGCTGTTACAGACTGTTAAATTAATAACTATTATATTATTATTTCATTTAATTCCTAGAGGAACATAGGGCTTCAGCCACGCACGTCTCCATTGCGTTCAGTTCTCTGCTAGAGTTTTTACCTGGCTCCAAGCCTGTCCACATGTTTTCATCTCCTCTTCACATGACCTCCTCCATTTCACCGTCGCATTGACGACCAACTCGCCGGTTCCCTTTCGGTGGGTTCCACTCGAGTAATGGCTTGTCTAGTGATGTCACTTGATGGTTTGTTTCCTCAGAGTATGACCAGCCAATCCACCTCCATTTCTTCCTGCCTTACATGTTGCATAATCGGTTCCTGCTGGGTTGGTTCGCTCATAGCCAGAGATCCCTGCCTGTTGCTGATCTTTTCTGACCGGACATCTGATCTTGAATAGTATTGAGCGAAGACAGTTGCTAATGAAGGTCTTTAATTTGTTTGAAATGCTCTTTATGATGCACCAAGTCTCTGTTAGATAAATTGACTAATTTGAAAAATTCTCAGGATTAGCAAAAGGGCGAAAGTACTGACCTTATCATTCAGATCACATGATATGTTTCTCATAGTTTCGATGATATTTTCTAAGATAATGAGTCAAGGTTAAGTAAGGCAGAATAATGAAGAGGGAAAGATGATTTCTGGTTTCGACATACGGCATGTTATCCGATATGTCAAGTGGTTTCAAGTTTGAACGATATATCTGTATGTCATCGTATGGTAGGCTAGATACACTATTAGGGAGTATATATATATATATATATATATATGCATACAGAATATTCTAGAATATTCGTCACTATCGATTTTTCAAACAATATTCTTCTCAAAACACTCCTCATCAGGTTCTACAATTTATATATGCATACCTAATAGTGAATGAATTGGTGTCATTAACATATCATTAATGTTCAATTTAATTGAACATCATCACTCACTGAGAAATGCAGATACATTCAGACGACAAGTCCCAAATAGGACGAAATGCGCATCCTGGATTCCACTGCAAGTCATCATCCACCAATTAAATACTATCATTAATGTTCTTTAAATAATATCGAATCAAATGATACTATGAATAGATTACAGCCCGATAGCATCAATATAACAATACAGTGAATATCAGAGAAATTAGGACAAATAATAATACGGATTCATGAATTCCTAGTCTTCACTGAAGGCCGTCCAGAGTAATGGTGGTAGTGGCTGGCCGGCTGGCTGGCTGGCTGGCTGGACTTGCTTCTTCCACACACTGAATACTAGTTGCTTAAGACGGATCGTGATATCTTCTACTCTTTCGAGTCTGTAGTACCTGGATTATTTTCCTGATTTGCTTGATATTTTGATAGATGATGGAGAAGAATTCTTCCATGGTAACTGGCTTCTTGACCGATTTGGACCAGGTGGGCTAATATCGAGCTGTTGATTGTTGTCTCTACACCTTTATTTAACCACACCACACCACACTGGTTGGTGGTCCCAAGAAAGCACGAAAACATCGAATTCCTATAGCAGCGACCAATATAACTCGCTCCACCATAAGCACAGTTTTGAATAGGTAGATATAATTAGAAGTGGCCAGTCTAGTCTAGGTGCTTCATCGTTCAATCGAGAAACCGCCAGATGTATGTATAAAGACCTCTTGTTTACGGATATTGAGTGAATATTCCTTTCCAGGTTTCTCAGTCATATGCTTCCTGATGAACTTGTCTGGATGGCTATTTTCAATCAAGGTATCATATACAATCGTAAGTTTATCTTTAATTACCTCTTCCGAGCATATAGTCCAAACCATGCGACTGAGGGTCGCTACAAGATTTCTCTTGTAGTGGATTGGAATGAAACTATGGAAATGTGTATTAGATCACTTGGTCCAGACTGGCCAAAAAGCCAGCCAGCATTGAGGAGTCCTTCTCTATCATCTATTAGGTATCGAACAAATTGCCAAAATCATCCAGGAACCGAATTCTTCAAACAGATGAGGCCTTCGCCAATTCGCATTAAACAACCGTCGGTCTGTGTGCAGACGAAGCAATTCCAGCCAGCCAGCCACTACTAATACTCTGTTCGGGGCCTTATGTTGAGCCTATAAATTCATGAATTTGTATTATTATTATCTTTCCTAATTTTTCTGATATTCAGTGTGTATTTTTATGTTGATGCTATTGAACTGTAATCCATTGATGTTATTATTGATTCAATGTTATTTGAACAACATATCAGTGTTGTTAATAATAACACTAATTCATTCATTCATTATTATGCATGTATGTAAAACTGTAGAACCTGATGAAGAGCAGGTTATTAAAAAAAGAATATTCTTTGTCCAGTAATCAGTCTTTTGAAGAAAAAACACATTTAATAGGCTCTTTCAATCACTTGTAATCGATTTGTTAAGATCGCAATGGAATCACTACAGCAGTTCAAAAAGATGCTCAAGTTATAACAAAAATAATAAGCATAAAAATGTAATAGCAAACAGAATTTCAAATAAAATTAAGGAAATCTCTACAACAGCAACAAATTAAGGATCATTAAACGCTTGATGGCCAGTCAGCGGGGTAAGAAAAGCTTCTCAACCAATTTCTTCTTTTGCATGCATCATAAATTGGTTTTCTTAATGTAGATGCGAACAGCCGGCCTCAACTAGTGAGGTGAAATTAGGCTTAGTTGGTACACGGTAGATGAATTTTCAAGCTGCCTCGTAAAAATCAATCTTGTGTTGTGCATCCATGAGACGAGATAGCATAGAGCTATAAACGGACTGCGTTTGTCCCTTACTAAACCACCAGGCAGAATGGTGTTCGAAAATCCGATGATAAACACACCTTATTGTATGGCCTATGCAGCTAACTGGCTCACTCCACAGGAGCAGATAAAATTGGTAGATACACATCTAAGAGGTGGAATTAGGTAGTCTATCTTCAACTGCTGAACGCGAAATAGGGGTGGTTTTGAAGACATAGCATACTTCGAAAGCACTGAATGCTCTTTTTACCGTTGTGTTCCTTAGGCATTGTCTTAATATCTCACTGATGTTATCGCAGAGGAAGTGAAGTTTCAAGATGAAGGCCATTTTTCGGAACTGCTGGAACTCTAGTCTGCCTTGACTCTTGATTCATATTCTTGTCGATGAATGTTTTCGGATAATCGTTCACATTCAGAGACTCTTTAATGATATTAAGCTCTTCATCAAGACATTCAGCTGAGCAGATAGATCTTGCTCTGTGGTGAACCAAGCGGTTTATCAGATATTTTCATGTCGAAATTGGAGATTCAAATGCAAGGTATGCTTGGAGAATTGATGCTATATTAACGTTATGTAGATAAAACTCTCATTATTGGTAATAATAGGAAATCTATTGAAAATTATATTACCCTATTTAATCATATTCACCCAAATATCCGAGTGACTTCCGAACTCGAATCGAATAACAAACTCGGTTTCCCGGATATTACTATGACTAGGAGAGATGATGGAACGATTCAGAGATGTATTTTTCGTAAACAGACATGGAGTGGACAATATCTTCATTTTACCAGTTTTGTTTCTATCCAGTATAAACGTTCCCTAGTGAAATGTTTGTTCTGTAGGGCCCGAAAAATATGCACGAGTGACACAGTGATAGATGAGTTTCGACACATACATTCAGTTTTATTAGCTAATGGTTATCCACAGAATTTTATCACTTGTCACAGTAGAGAAAGACCACATTTCGAAAAGAAAGCTTCTGTACCCTAGAAAGCTTTCTTTATTAACAACCTACCATTCAAGGGTGACCAGATTATGCAGTTGACAGCTAGCTCAAAGATGTCGGTCAGCCATCAAACTCACTTTATTCGCCGAATCTCTTTTTCTCACTTGCCGAACATTTTCGATCCCTGTACCTACGATTAAAGGACGAAATTCTGTGGACTCTACTCCCCTCAAACTATATCTACAAGATCACTTGCAGTTGTTGCGGTGATGACACCTATATAGGTAGACCTAATACAATGTTCCAATATTGTGGTCGAAAAGAACATGTTCCAAAATGGCTACTAAGTCATATAGAAAATCTCAATATACTCATTAATCTGAATAGAAATCCACCATCATCATCCATTGCAAAACACTTATTAATGTCAGGTCACAAAATCAGTATTTATGACTCTTTCATAGTTATTTCAAGAAACTCGAATACAAGGTTACTGAAAGTGATGGAAGCACTTTGGACTAATCATATACATCCGAAACTGTGTGTACAAAAATGCAATAGACTTCAATCGTCGCCTACCATGGACTATATGACCTATATAAATGTGATTGATCATTAGTATGTACTTTTGTTTTTTATTTGCATCGGTGGCACGGT